CTCCTTAAATCCCCTGACCACTGATGAACAGATAGGTAGCAGCTGCTCTCCAGCTGCTCTCCAGACACACCCACCTGCACACAGAAGACTCAGCACAACACAGTTAGATTCAGCAAAAACCATGACAGTACCCCCCCCCCCCCCCCCCCCCCCCCTCAAGGGCCGCCACCCGGCAGCGAAGAGGAGGAGGAGGCGGAGGCGGAGGAGGCACGAGAAGCGTCAAACTCCCGGATGAGGGATGGGTCGTCAATCCAAGAACCGGGGATCCATTGACGGTGCTCCGGGCCATAACCCACCCAATCAACCAAGAACTGGCGACCTCGGCCACGGGGTCTGGCATCCAACAGGCGACGAACCCGGTAACCCATACTACCATCAGCAAGACGGACAGGCGGCGGAGGATCAGAGGCAGAAGCGGGACACAGGGAACTGGATGACACAGGCTTGATGAGAGAGACATGGAAGACTGGATGGATCTTGAGCGAGGGAGGCAAAGAGAGACGAACAGACCAGGGACTGATGACCTCAAATATGGTGTAAGGACCTATGAACCGGGGTGAGAGTTTCTTGCTGGTGTCTTTGAGCTTGATGTCCTTGGTCGAAAGCCACACTTGTTGTCCACAAGCATAAGGTGGAGCCGGACGACGATGGCGGTCCACCAGTCGCCGATTCCGTTCGGCTGTGCGGTGCAAAGTGGCACGAGTCTGGGTCCAGGTTCTTCTTGCTCGTCGAATGAACTGTGGCACGGTGGTTGTTGTAGGGAGATCAGACGGGAAGAGTGGAGGTTGATAGCCTAAAGAAGATTCGAACGGGGATTGACCAGTAGCAGAGGAAACATGGGTGTTGTGAGCGTACTCAATCCAGGGAAGTTGGGTGCTCCAGCTAGTTGGATTTGAGGAGCACACACAACGAAGCATGGCCTCCAACTCCTGGTTGAGTCGCTCACATTGGCCGTTGGTTTGGGGGTGATATCCGGAACTCAGGGAGACGCTGGCTCCTAGAGAGGTAGCAAATTCCTTCCAGACCCTGGAGAGGAATTGGGGACCACGATCTGAAAGGATTTCTGTTGGGATGCCATGTAGGCGGAAAACGTGTTTTATGAGAAGTTCGGCGGTGACGGCGGAGGAAGGAAGAGACTTTAAGGGGACGAAATGACAGGCCTTAGAAAACCTATCGATGATGGATAGAATAACTGAAAAACCCTTAGAGGGAGGTAGACCGGTGACAAAATCCAGGGCTATGTGGGACCAAGGGTGAGAAGGAATTGGCAGAGGTTTCAGTAATCCAGAGGGAGGTTGGTTAGTACCTTTATTGCGGGCACATACCTGACAGGTGCTGATGTATTCCTTTATGTCTCTGTACATGGAGGGCCACCAGAAGGACCGACGAATCAGATCAAGGGTACGACCAACTCCGGGATGTATTGAGAATCTGGCTGTATGTGCCCAGTGGATGACTGACCCTCGGACCTGTTGTGGAACATAGAGCTTCTGGGGAGGGCCGTTCCCTGTGTAAGGTTATGAAGTTCATTATTTTCAGCTCCACACAGCTGCCCCCTGTGCACAATAACACCCGTGTAGAAAAACCAAGGTCGGGTGTTCCTCAGACTGTTTACATTCCAGGAGAAGAGTCCGATGGAGGAGAAGAAGCTTTACTTAATCAAAGTACTTTATTTGTGATTAAAATTATTAAGCAAAACAGATGTTGATCAACAATAATCAAGTGAATGATCTGTGAAATAAATATGTCATGATTTATGTTTAATGAAAACAGGACTACTGCACAGACATACTGATCCTCATCTCCATAGAAACGCATGACACATTGTTCCAACCAATCAGAGCTTTCGGCTGCCGCAAGAGAATCTGGTGTTGACTTAAAGTGTCCAATCCCGTTTACTGAAACTTAAAACAATTCAGAGATATAAAACAAGGCAACGCCATTTTAAGCTCAGTTCCATTTTGACTTCAGTTCTATTCACCGTCATCCTAAAGAAAAGCACAGCCTGGCCAGATGTGTTTTCGTCTTTAAACTAAGAACTGTGAAGTTGGAGATTTTCGTCGTTTAACAACCAGACGACGTCCTTTCAAAATAAGAGCACCTGCTGACGCCGCCGAACGGTACCGGGGTCGACCCTCCAGACGGGCTTTGAAACGTTGCGACCGCTGCACCGACAGCTCCAGCGTACATCCGAGGTTCTTGGACCTGGCATTTCCTGATCTACCTGGGAGGCCCCCACTGGGTACGTACACGGCAAAATAGCGGCTCATGTCATCACTTTATAAGCCTCGTGATATCTAGTCATAACAAAGACTACCAGATTCAATGACATCATCCTAAAGAGTCTGAACCAACCACACACACACACACGCACCAACACAACATCCAAATCCATTTTCATCCATCACAGAGTTAGTCCTGGTAGATTGTTTAGAATTTATAATTGTGAAATTAAAGATTCTCAAACGATCCCATCTCTCTCTCTTTTCTTGTCTCAAAGTAAATACAGAGTGTTTAATTAAACTCCCTGATGATAAAAACAGCCTATTCTTCTGTTTATAAAAAGTGATCTACTTACAGTGTATTAAAATACAACTCTAGATAGTTACATCACTTCAATTCCATTACACCTGGGTCCGGGTCAGTTCGTTGCGCCTCTGTTACCTTTTGTGAGATATCCCACGTGATTGATGCCAGAACACAGGATGGAGGAAGTATGGTAGCGGGTTCCTGGTCTTTGTCTGTGGAGTACTGACGGGACAGGGCATCTGGTTTCACATTTTTGGTTCCGGGTCTGAAAGAGATAGTGAAGTTGAACCGAGTGAAAAACAGAGACCAACGGGACTGTCTGGGGTTAAGTCTTTTGGCTTCCTTCAGATAAGCGAGGTTCGTGTGATCTGTCCAGATTATGATGGGGTACTCAGCTCCCTCCAGCCAATGGCGCCATTCCTCCAGTGCGAGTTTCACTGCCAGCAACTCCCGGTCACCCACATCATAATTCTGTTCTGCAGGCGAGAGTTTCTTGGAAAAAAAAGCACAGGGGTGAAGCAAGTTATCGGAAGGAGACCTCTGGGAGAGAACAGCCCCCACCCCGGAGTCTGAAGCGTCCACTTCAACTGTGAATTGAAGAGTGGGATCGGGACGAGACAGGATAGGAGCTTGTGAAAAACGAGTCTTTAACTCCAGAAAAGCGGTGTCTGCCTCAGGGGTCCATACAAAAGTTCTCTTAGTGGATGTTAATTTGGTGAGAGGTGATGCTATTTGGCTGTAGTTGCGGATGAACCTTCTGTAAAAATTAGCGAACCCTAGGAACCGTTGTAACTGTTTACGGGTGGTGGGAGTGGGCCAATCACGAACTGCTTGGATCTTCTCGGGATCTGTCTTCAACCGCCCGCTCTCCAAGACGAATCCAAGAAACTTCACGGATGAGGCGTGGAATTCGCATTTCTCTGCTTTAACAAAGAGGCGGTTTTCCAAAAGACGTTGCAGTACAGCTCGGACGTGATGGCGGTGTTCTGAGAGGTTGCTTGAGAATATCAGGATATCGTCGAGGTAAACTGTAACGAACTTATCAATGAAATCATGGAGAACCGAGTTGACTAGTGATTGGAAAACAGCAGGGGCGTTGGTGAGGCCAAAGGGCATTACCAGATATTCATAGTGGCCCAAGGGTGTCTTGAATGCCGTCTTCCACTCGTCACCCTCTCGGATACGGACCAGGTGGTAAGCATTACGGAGATCTAGTTTTGTGAAAATGGTGGCTTTCTGGACAGGATCAAAAGTGGAGGATAACAGAGGCAGAGGATACTTGTTTTTTATTGTAATTTGGTTAAGCCCTCTATAATCGATACAGGGGCGTAGAGAGCCGTCTTTTTTTGCAACAAAGAAAAAACCTGCTCCAAGAGGAGATGTAGATGGGCGAATAATACCGGCAGCTAGAGATTCTGAAATGTAAGTGGCCATGCATTCCCGTTTGGGCTTGGACAAACTGTATAATCTACTGGAGGGTAATGTAGCGCCCTGCAGGAGATCAATACAGCAGTCGTACGGGCGATGAGGTGGCAGAGAGGAGGCCCGGTCTTTACAGAACACAGCTTGTAAATCATGATATTCAGATGGAACCAGAGACAGATCGGGAGGAGTAGGTGTACTGGAAACTGGAGCTGAGACAGAGAGGTTAGCAGATAGGAGGCAGTGAGATAAGCAATATGGGCTCCAGGATGAAATCTGATTGGTTTTCCAGTCAATGTGAGGATTGTGAGTGACTAGCCAGTCATGACCCAAAACAACCGGAGTCTGGGGCGAAGGGAACACAAAAAAGGTTATGGATTCATGATGGTTACCGGAGATTAACAACTTTACTGGCGCTGTCTGGTGGGTGATGGTGGTCAGCGAATTACCGTCCAATGATGATGCCCTGATGGGGGTGGTAAGTGGTGTCGTAGGAATGTTGAGTCGGTCCACGATTGTTTGGTCCAGAAGGTTTCTCTCACAACCTGAATCCACCAAGGCCTTAGCAGGAAAGCAGTCCTGATTAAATGAGACAGAGCAGTTTAGTTCACAACGGGAAGACTTGTTATCCATATTACCACCCACCAATACTCCCGGAATTATTGGCGGGCTCTCCCTTTTGGGCGAACAGGGCAACTAGACAGGAAATGGCCAGGCTTTCCACAATACAAGCAAAGTCGGGAGGAGAGTCTGTGTAATCTTTCCTCTGGAGTTAGGCTGGCCCGGCCAACCTGCATGGGCTCGTCCTGAGGGACCGAAACATTGATGGGTCTTGGTGGTGAAGCGGATTGGACAAATTGGTTTTGCAACACTGGCTGATAACACAGCTGGACAGGTCTTGGGTGGCTTCGTTGCCTCTTCTCTATGCGGGCAGCCAAACTGATCAGGTCCTCCAATGTTTCTGGTTCTGGACAAAAAGCTAATTGGTCTTGCAAACTAGTATTGAGGGCTTGGGAGAAGGCTCCATTTTGGATCCATTTTGGAGGTGGTAGCGAGGGTTCTAAAGTCTATGGCAAAATCTAGTACCGTTTGTTTACCTTGTTTCATATTCCATAATGTTTTTGATATCTCGGCGGGTGTTTCAGTATTGTCAAAAGTGTTCCTAAATTCAGTGAGAAAATCGTGCAATGTGCCTTTAAGAAAATCAGGATCACGACTACGTGCCTCTGCCCATTGTAGGGCGCGACCGCGGAGCAGACCTACGATGTAGGAAATCTTTATTTGGTCATTGTTGTATGTTTCAGGGTATGTTCCGAAAGTTAGATCACATTGCAGGAGAAAACCTCGAACTTGACCGAATTCACCCCGGTAAGTGTCTGATGGAGAAGACTCCGGGACCCGGAAATGCAAACGGGGTGCTTGGACGGTTTGAACCGGAAGCGCTTGAGCGGCTGACGGAGGAGCAGAAGGAATAGACGCTGTTAGTTTATCATTGAACTGCCGGATTACGGATTCTAATTGAAACAGGTGTTGGTTTGTTTTGGACTGGTGCTCGAGAAGGGACTGGATGGAATTTTCGTGTTTGGATAAAGTCGAGGCGAGAGCCGGCGGGAGAGATTCTGCGAGTGGGTCGGAATTTTGACCGGATGATTCTGTCATGCTGGGCTGCAGCTTTTTGACCCACGACATGCAGAATCATGCACGGAGACAAAGGTAAGTAAAAAAGGTTTATTATAATGTACAAAGGAGATGATGGTCTGAGATCCGATGGTTCCGGTGGGGTTCTAGAACAGAGACTGGAGTGAGTATATGCAGGTTTGACCGTGAAAGAAATTAGTTTGTAGCTTACAGTTTCCTGGTTGTTGGTAAGGCTGAGAGGGGTGGGCAAGTCACGGCTGGCTGAGCTGGTAGAGCGAGAGTCAGGTGAGGCTGGGGGCTGAGTACCGGAGTTGGAGGTGTCCTAGTTGGCAGGTGGGGATTGGAGAGCAGGCGGTCAGGGGTGAGCGACGGGACTGGCAGACAGGGTTGGAATCCGGTGAGTTTTCTTGCAGCTGATGGAGGCTTGGTTGGTGGGGGAGAAGTTTCCCAATGCTGAGTATCATCCGGTACTGATGAGTTGTCCCAACGCTCCTTAAATCCCCTGACCACTGATGAACAGATAGGTAGCAGCTGCTCTCCAGCTGCTCTCCAGACACACCCACCTGCACACAGAAGACTCAGCACAACACAGTTAGATTCAGCAAAAACCATAACATCCACAGACAGCTGAGATAGACAAATCAAGTTCCACTGTTTCCAGGAGTCCATGATGTGTCCAACTGGGTCTGTCCCAGAGGGGCATCCGGGAGTCCCTTCTCCCGTTCTCATCGTTGAAAAAATTTTATCAACCGCATTGAGTGACCAACTGACGAGATCATTTTAGTGAATTTCAGTTTCCAGTTTCCAGAAAAAATGCAGAAGCAGCCGTGCATCCAGCACACACAGACAGACAAAGGCCTTGAGGATAAGATATGGAGGAGAGGAGAAGAAAAGCGTCTGCACCCTCCAAGAGTCAGAAGAAGAAAGAATTAAAATAATCTGTTGAGATGATAATCTGGAGTGATGCTGAGCTCCAGGAGCTTCTCTTCATTAGAGCTGGAACTCAGATCATTAGACAATTAACAGGGACTGTGGTGAACAGACACCTTTTGGAGTGGTTTGTCAAACACATGTAATGAGCCCAGCTACGATCGCAATAGAAATGAAGTTATGTCCAAGATAAACAAAAGTCCACTGCAGAATGCCCCCACACACCCCTTTTACCGCCATCGTGTAGTATTTTGTAAAAACACATTGCCACCACTGTCTGACCACTTGTAAACCACTTAAGGCTCCTTGGTGCCTGCTTAGCGTTCCAACAAATTAGTGGCATTGTTTTCCAAAAGATGCTACTCACGTATCACTGAGTCATTAAACATGTGTACAAGCCAGTCTTTAGGTAAATGTTGTAACGCTACAATGTGCAAATTATTTAAAATCTCCATCGCAACCATAGACAAAGCTGATCTGCCAAAAGCCGTTTTACATTTTGGAAGGCTGTATTCCCCTTTAGTAGTGAATCTGAGTTCGTGGCATTTTTTCTGCACATAAAATTACAAATTTCCTCAGGGGAGCAGCAGTAGACAATTTTAAAGTAGGCAAACGTAATACAAAATAAAAAAAAATTCTCTAAATTCAGCATTGTTTACCATAAACAAACACTGCTGTATCATCAGCATACACGATGACATTAGTGTGGCAGTGTGAGCGTCTTGTCACCGTGTCCAGATTGATCATGCACCCTCGCTACTTGGCCAAGGGGATGTCCCTTTGGCTGACTGGTTAGCAGGCGTGACTCTTGCCTGGGAGTCTGGGGATCGAATCCCAGCCAGGCCCTCATTTTTCCACCTTGCCACACTAGCAGTGCAAACAGGGGGAAGGTCATTAATGTGAATACTCATTTATGTGTAACATCTTTGGATATTGTCAGGGTTTGTTTTCTTATTTTCCATTTCTGGTTTTCCAAAGGCTGCAAACTGAACCATTTATTCTTTTGCACTGTTGAGTCTTGTGATTTTTCCAACGTATTTGCAATATAAAAACAACACTTTGTTCCTTTCACACTCCCCCGTGACCTTTGTTACCCAAATGTTTTTGTGAATGCCTTTTGTCTCAGTTGTTCACTCACTGCAGGCTGGTGGGTGAATGAGACCGAGTGTGTGCATGTGTGTGTGGCACATGACTTGCAGTATTGGTTTTGCGTTAGACAAAGTGAAGCTTGTATGGTGCACATTTCAACTTGGATTACTTTGCACTCCGATCCTGTGTGTTTGTGTTGGAAGGGATGGTAGAACTGACTGACTGGTGTTAACTAAGAGCTTCTTGGCTTTGTTGAATTTGAGAAAAATGTAGTTTCTAAACCACCCACCAGCTAATACTTGTTTTTTTTTTTTTTTTTTTTTTTTTTTTTTTTTGTCTTTTGTGGTGAGCACTATGTTCTTTAGAGAGCACACGTCTGAGCTCTCTGGACAAAATGAGATTTGTTTTGAAATTCAGATGCAAATAGAAGTCTTGTGTTCTGAAGCCACAACAATACATCAAATATCCAGATCTATGTCATTTAAGTGACACAAAGTGTTCCTCTAAAAAAGGTAGATTTGGTTCAGCTTTTCTTATTATGCAAACATATTCAAAAAGGAACCAAAAAGCCTTTGTTTGTCGCCCTGGTTTACCAGCACATGGTTTTCTTCTGAAACCTCCGTATCTTCCTTCAGAGTGGAAAGACAAGTGGGTTCCCTTTACAAATGACATATTTTTATACTTTTGTTTCCTGAGGGATGCAATAAAATGGACATTTCTTATGAGTCTTCCTGGTCATTAGTCAGACTTATAAAGCCATAAAGCCCTGAACCATTTTTCCCTTCCTGCAGACACTCAGAGCAATCACGAAGGCCAGATTCAGACCTGGCACTAAGATGCGTCCCGGCTGATTAGATCACAAGCCGACTGGGTGTAAAACCAAGTGTTCACACCTGATCGTAAAACAAATCCTGAGTGATCTGGATCTACATGTGCTGCACAGTCAGCTGATCAACACACAGAGCATCAGTAGGATAACAGATGTTTCTATAAAATCACAAGTACATTGAGTCACCAGAACTAGACCATACTTAGGATGCAAGCATGGTTTAGATTCTCATGAGTTGCATTTTTGTGGTGTTATTTACAAATATTTTGACAGGCTTAATTATGTAGCTTAACAGACACGATGCAAGTGAAGTCAAGGAGCATAAAATCACTTGTGATTCTATGGAGAGGAGCGTCAGAGAAAAAGACACAGCAGGTAATAACTCCACTGCTGGCGTGGAGTCACATCAGGGCAGTAGGTGGTCTCGGGCCCCAGTCCCTTCCATCAGATCCGTAGGCTTCAGCTGCTGAACTACAATCACTCATTTACTGTGAAAGTCACTGAAACTGTAAAAAAAAAAAAAAAACTAGATTATTTTAAATAATTGATTTGTTTGGCCACATTTATAAATTACAAAGGTTTCTACCATAAATTTTGTTTATACATCCAGTTATGTTTGTAAATTCTGCATCGCGGAATTCAAAGCCCCAAATTATTAAACACATTCTCCAAAGGTGAGAGACGCACATGGTTATGAGAAAATCTACCAGTTTGGGTCCTGTAGTGTTTGGCGTGCCGAAACACGGCTAAAACTGCGCATTAGAGGTGAGCGATGTACTCATACTGACATTTATACTGAGGTTATTTCCCATGTTAGGCATTACATATTTGAAAAAAAAAAAACATGAAAACAAGTGTAGGCGTGGAGTCACGTGACTCCACCCCGTCCAATCAGTAACAAGAAAGGAAAGCCAGCGAGGAAATAGAGGATGAATCAAATGAAGAGGGAGTGGGAGGGGACGGTTGTTGAGGGATTGTTGTGGGAGCCGATCTACCACGGCTCCCTCTAACTGTAGAGGTGTAGACCATTTATCGTTATCTAGGTGTACTGCTCAATAAATGCTGATTTTGACGCCATATCGCCCAAACCTACTACACATGAACCGATTTCACACATGAACATTTCCTGGTCAGATGGGAAATCTTGTAAAACCTCAAAATCAAACAAGACTTTGAAGGAAACAAGCATGGGGAAGGAGGAATGTGCAGCGTGCTTTCGTCACCTCGCTTTCTGATTTTCTACACATCTCATTCACACGGCATCATGCTTGTTTGTCCTAGAAAATCAGACCAAGACAATCCAAAACGTTTGAAAACCAATATTTAAGATTGGAGCTGTCCCGATGTAGCCTGGCAAGCCATCCTTTAACCGACCTAATGGGTGACTCCGCGAGGAAAGCTGACCATTGAGCAGGATTGATGGTTTATCCCTTGAGGTCCAGGAGTGAGCACCACCTCACCCCTGCCACGTGGACCCCAAAGGATAAACCATCAATCCTGCTCAAAGTTCAACTTTCCTCGCGGGGTCGCCCATTAGGACAGAGGGAGGGATAAACGTATGATGGACCTGCTGAGGCTACAATGGAACGTGGCTAGACGTGGCTATGGTTGGTCCAGATTTTACGATAATCCCTTCCGAACAGACCACACCACACTTAGCAGAAATATCCGATAAGAATGTATTCAGGGCCATTATGATACGTACGTTTTTAAGGTGAATCGGTTCAAAAATCCTCATGATTATCGCGCCGCGTGATCTGGTCTTTCCTGGTCTTTTAATGTGGTCCCAGACAGATTTGTGTTTAAACTACTCAAAGAACATGAACAATGAAAAACCGGAGCGCTTCTGAAAGGCAGCCTAAGTGATCAGCTCTGAAAGAGTTCCCAAACCCTCCTGAGTGCATTAACACCTGTACTTAGATCCATCCGCTGGTTATCAGATCACCCAGGATGCATCTCAGTGCAGTTCTGAGCAAGATCTAATGATTACTGAGGATCTTTTGTACCAGTTAATAGTGCTGCTGCAAATAACCATCAAAGTCGATATACCAAGATACACTTAAGTGTTCTGCAGAAGAATCTGCTGCAATCTTGACTAATGGGGAGCATATCAGCTAATGGACGCGTCCAGCCAGATGCATTCAGGCTTGCACACGCAGTCTCTTTTCAAACAAGAAAACAATGATTTCAGCTGTTTTTTTATTATTTGTGGTATCATTTGATTCCATGCAGTTCGACTGAAACGCTTCAAGCTCTCTGTTGCAGTCAATACAATCAGCGTGTTTACCTTTTCCTGTCTTGTGGCTCATCTGCTCGCCTTTTCTTGCTCTCTAAGTAGACACGTCTGGCTACAGTCTAAACCGGCCTAGTGAAGGAGGACGGGAGTTAAGATGGCCTCCTCGGAGACTTTTCAGAGAAGTAATTTAATAAACTGTGATATTTTCCCACTCCATGAGGGAAAGGGAATAGGCTCAGAAAGTAATGAAACTCAGCTGCTGAATTTTTAATATTAAAGAATCAATTTCCTGTTCTTGAACATAAAGGTCTGCTTCCTTCTGTTTCCTTTGTAACAAGCAACACGTAGCATTGATTGTCATCTAGCTTCCTGGTCTCACCAAGGATGGATGTAAAGGTTTAATGCAAACATTTGTTTAACAGCCTGTTTTGGCTCTTGTCCATTCCCTAACATTTGCTTTTGCAGCTGGAAACGGGGTTTTCTAACCACTCAGAGCGTGGAAACGAACCAGATGTACGTTGTTGTTATAGACTCACAAGTGCTTACGGATAAAGAATACAGTAAAATGTGATTCAAAACCAAAGCAATAAACATTTTCATGTTCTTGAGCGAATCTCTGGGAAATCTTTCTGTAGTTTGTTGATCATCATGCTCATCTTCTCTTTTTCTTCCAATCTGGAATTTGCTGTTCACAAATGTGACCAAACATGAATGGAAACATCCAGCGACACCATCCGGCTCCTCAGTCATTGTAGTACCAGCATCATTCACTCTGCGTTGTCCTACAAAAGTCGATTAATTGCACGAATAGTCACTTGCTGCTTAGTTTGTTTTAAATAACTGAGCTTGACCCAGAGCATGATTTAGGGAATTTCTGTATTTTTGTTTTATTTTATATTTTTGTGATTTATTCTTTCTTTTTTGTTTGGGTGATACTCACTGAAACCAAACTAGCTAGGTCAACATTTGTAGGTTGATTCAGGATATGAACAGACCTCTATTGCTTAAAGGTTGAATATGGAACACGACCACCGTAGCTCTCCCTTAGAGATAGGGTGAGAAGCTCGGTCATCCGGGAGGGGCTTGGAGTAGATCTGCTGCTCCTCCACATCGAGAGGAGCCAGTTGAGGTGACTTGGGCATCTGGTCAGGATGCCTCCTGGACGCCTCCCTGGTGAGGTTTTCCGGGCACGTCCAACCGGGAAGAGGCCTAGAGGGAGACAAAGGACACACTGGAGGGACTATGTCTCTCACCTGGCCAGGGAACGCCTTGGGATTTCCCCGGAGGAGCTGGCCCAAGTGGCTGGGGGGAGGGAAGTCTGGGCTTCTCGACTTAGGCTACTGCCCCTGCGACCCGACTCTGGATAAGCGGATGAAAATGGATGGATGGATGGATGGATGGATGGACCACCATAGCAACATCTGGCGTGTAGAGGTTCTAGATGCGACAACAGAGCAAGGCTTCCAGCCGTTGGGATATCAGGTTCACTGCCGACGCGTGAAGTGACCAGCCAGCACCATGTCCAGTGATGAATCTTACAGGGTAAGGTCTGATTTCTACTACAACAGTTTTAAAGTTTGAACATCTCCTGGACTCAGAAGCAGCTGTTGGACTTCTCAAGTCCGCCATTTTCCACAGTGCCAGCCTCGCTGTGCCGAGCAGATCTGATTACCACAATGGTGCCCTCTATTGGCTGGTAGAACTAAACGTAAACCCAGTGTCATTATTTTTCAAAGAAAAAAATCAGTTTTAAAGGAAATACTGTACCTTCATTCTGCACACCTCTAAATGCCCCGTAGAGTTATTGTTTATTATTTATTTTTACAACTTTGTTCAATTGTTCCACATTCAACCTTGAAGAGTAACTTTATATTTTAACTCCTTCCAGTTTTCAGATAGAGCTGAGGCACCCTTTTTTGTT